CTAGTGTGCTACCTTGATGGTGAGCAGAGAAGCCAGAAAGACTGCCATAGGGTGAGTCTCAGGCTGATGTGAACATGTGAAAGGAGACCATAAGGGTCTTATTTATTTATTTGTTTGTTTGTTAAGATTTACTGTGTTGTTTATGTGTGTATCTGTTACTTCTCTTTTGTTGTGATAAAATACCATGACCAAGGCAACTTATAGAAGGAAGAGTTCATTTCAACGGGGTAAGAGTTCACAGTAGGGAGACATGGCAGCAGGCAGGCATGGTAGTACGGGTAGGAAGCTGAAAAATCCTATCACTAGCTATAAGCATGAAGCAGAGTGAACCGGAAGGAGGGTAAGGCCTTAAACTCTCAGAGCCCAACCTCAGTGATGTGCTTCCTCTAGCAAGGCTGCACTTTCCCATAACCTCTCCAAACAGCATCACCAACCAAGGACCAACTTCAAATGCCTGAGTCTATGGGGACATTTCTCACTTAAAACACAGTGTGTGCATACGTGCATGCATGTAATTCCAAAAGGACTGCCTGTGAGTTTGAGGTCACAGTGTGATTCCAGGTCAGCCCGAGCTGCAGAGTGAGAAGATCCTGATTTTAAAAAGCTGGGGTAGTGTAGGCTTGCGAGCTGGCTAAGTGGGTAAAGTTGCTTGTCACCAAGGTTGGCAATTTGAGTTTGAGTCCAAGGACCCTTATGCTGGGAGGAAAGCACTAGTTTCTGCAAGTTGCCCTTTGACTCCTACACACGTGTGTGTGCACCTGTTAACACATTTATACATATGTATACAAAATAAATAAAATATATTTTTAAAATATTTTTTAAAGTAGAGTAGAAAGCCTTACCCAGAGAGACCAGGAACCCAGAGATTTCCAGCATCACCTCCTGGTAGAGAGTCTTTTGAGCAGGGTCCAGCTGCCCCCACTCCTCCTGGGTGAAAGCCACAGCCACATCTTCAAAGGTCAGAGACACCTTGCAAAGTCAAACAGAGGCATCAGTGTTAGCCTTGGGTTCGATGAGAGGAGCTGGCCCATGCCTCACGGAAGCAGATTAAGAGGGGCGAAGGCCCGAGCCACACAGGGCATCTTCACGCCCATGTTCCACTGTGCGTTTGGGGGGTTAGCGAGAAAATGCCTGGAGAACACAGAGGTGCAAGGAGAGAAGGATCCTGTGTTAAGAGTCATCAGAGCCTGGCAGCTCACACCTATAACCTCAGAACTTCAAGGCCGAAGGTAGGAAGATTGCTATTATTTCAAAGCCGACCGGGGCTGCACAGCAAGCTCAAGGCCAGTCTGGACTACATGAGACTCTGTCTCAAAACAAAAAAAGAAAAGAACTGGGCCGGCAAGATGGCTCAGTGGGCTAGGGCACCTGCTGCTAAGTTTGCTCACCTGAGTTCGATACCTGGGACTCATATGGTAGAAAGAGAACTGACTTCCTGAAGTCCTCTGACCTCTGCACTCAGGCCCTGACATGTATGCACACACACGCCCCATAAATAAGGAAAGTTAAAAAAAAAAACAATGAAAAATATACCATAAATAAATAAATACACGTGAAAAAGATCACTACCCCAAACAAAGTCAGAAGGACAGACAACAAAAACATGTGGACTACGAGATGTGGACAGTAGGATTCTAGAAAATCAGAAGAATGAAGACATGAAGGTGATACCAAGACAGGTACAAGGAGAGCCTCTCCATGATGTTTCTCTAGGGCTGCCAGGGTGGCTCAAAGGGAAAAGCACCTGCTGTCATGTTGTTCGAATCTAGATGGTCTTTTAATAAAAAACCCAGAGCCAGATATCAGGGTGAAAGCTGAAAGATCAGAGAAGCAGAACAGGCAGCCACTAGTTCTTACCTCTACGAAATCCTCGGCCTAAAGAGAGTGCGTTCCTGTTCCCTCACGCCTTATATACCTTTCTCTGCCCTGCCATATTACTTCTTGGGATTAACGGTAAGTGTGCTTCCCAAGCAAAGACATGAGACCTCAAGTGCTGGGATTAAAGGTGTGTGTCACCACTGCCTGGCTCTGTGTCTAATCTAGTGGCTGGCTCTGTCCTCTGATCTTCAGGCAAGTTTATTAGGGTACACAATATATCACATGTCAAGACTGATGATCTCAATTCCATCCCTGATACTGACATGGTAGAAAGTGAGACACACACACACACACACACACACACACACACACACACACACACACACACACGCGCGCGCGCACAAACGCACACACACACTGAATAAATGTACAAACAAAATGAAATAGTTCTATCCGACAATAGGAATTTTTTAAAATTTCTTATTTTTATGTGCACAGATGTTTTTGCCTGCACTGATGTCTGTCTGTCTGTATGAGGGTGCCAGATCCTCCAGAACTGGAGTTACAGACTGTTGTGAGCTTCCAGGTGGGTGCTGGGAATTAAACCCAGGTCCCCTAGAAGAACAGCTGGTGCTCTTAACCACTGAGCTATCTCTCCAGCCCCCAACAATAGGAATTTTTAAAGGAGAAATTCTCCAATGCTCATTGTGAAAATTGTCTTAATTTCCCATGGCCTTTGAGGTCACCATCATCAGATCTTCACATTACAGTGAGTGACTCGAGGCTAAAGGAGCTTTACCAGCTCACCTGGAGCCACTCAGTACTACCAAAGGCAGGGACCGCACACTGGCTTAAGGCTGTTGTAACAGTAATTCTGACACTCCATTAACAGCAAAGAGAATATAAAGTGAAAAGCTCATTCCAAAAAGGAGTTGCAGAGCTGGAGAGCTGGCTCAGTGGCTAACAACAGTGGACCTGAGTTTGGCTCCCAGCAACCACATCAGTATCTCCAGCTCCAAGCATTGTATGGCCTATTCTGGCCTTTTCGGTCACTTGTACTCATGTGCACATACCCTTATGCTAACATATGCTATCATTGCTGGGCGGTGGTGGCACACGCCTTTAATCCCAGCACTCGGGAGGCAGAGCCAGGTGGGTCTCTGTGAGTTCGAGGCCAGCCTGGTTTACAAAGCGAGTTCCAGGAAAGGCGCAAAGCTACACAGAGAAACCCTGTCTTGAAAAACAAAACAAAACAAATGCTATCATTTAAGAAAAAAATGTTTTTCATTTCTTAAAAAAGTTAGTGAGTTTGTGTAGTGTTTCCACTCCTTTTTGCTGACAAACCCATTTAACCACTTCTGAAAAATGCCCTTTTGACATGGCTAGACAAAGCACGTCTTATAGCTGGCTTCACAACTGATGTGCTTGAGTTGGTTGTGGTGGCTCACACCCATAATCCGAGCATTAGGGGAGCTGATACAGAATTTCACATTTGAAGCCAGCCTGGGCTACGCAGTAAGACCTTGTCTCAATACAAGGACAATAAGAGAGTTATTACCATCTACTGGAGACAAGTCCCTGACCAGCTTCCCCAGTAGCCTAGACCTTTCTTAGGCTTCCTAGATTCCCAGGGAAATTCCACAATGAGACGCCTACCTTTTTCCTTGCAGGATTCTGACAGCCCTGCCGCTGTTGTTAGGACACTTCAAAAACTGGGAACACAATGGTCGAGGATAAACAATACCAGCGGTGGCTCTCAGAATCAAGTCCCTTCACTGGGTATAGACGACTGGAAGCTGAAAATCCTTGGAGAAGACTACACTATTTTGCTCTTCATTTCTCCATCACGGCAACCTTACAGGTACTGCTGGGCCTTCTTAAAGGGCCAATATACCTGTATTCCTCCAAGTATGTCTCCCTGCCCCGAATGCCCTGATCTTGACTTTCTGAAACCAGTACTGTTGCACAGAGGCCTAGGCGGTCTCGGTGGGTCCTTGCACGCACAGTAGGAGTTATTAGTATGACTGAATTCTTTAGCGGAAGCATGATTTACTCTTGCAACAGCTTACCCATGACAATGTAAAAAAAAAAAAACACCTCTCACCTCAAAGCAGGGAAGGAGTGTATTCTGAACCCAAATATGGGTGACCACGTCCCTGGAACTCCCATTTAGGTTAAACCAAATGTCACGTTCCAAAAGTTTTAAGATACAGAACAAAGGGCATAAAGATACTTTTCAAATACCCTCACGAATACATCAGGCAGCTAGGTTTGAGCTCCGTGGAGAAACCTCTGCTATAGGTCTGCGATGCTATCTGAAGATTTTTTTTTTTTTAAGGTTTCTGGTTTGTAGAAGCTAGAGACTTGCTAAGATAACACATCCAAAACATCTCGTCTATGTTTCACAAAGATGTTAGGTCAGTCACTGAGGTGGGTAAGGAATAGTTATTAAGGTGGCTAAAGATAGCCCAAGATAATCAGTAAACAGGCTCTTGACCTGCCACATTCCAATCCCTCCACCACCACTGGCGTTCTCAATCCGCTGTCAGGTGCAGCAGCTCCCTTCCGGAAAGGCCAGTTCAAACTGGGCATCTTTCGGGAGCATCCAGGACCGCTGACGAATTAAGTCGTCG